CTGAGCCGAGCACTGGAGCTGGCAGGACAGAAGGTAGATCACCTGGTCGTGATGGAGAAAGACCCGGAATGCCGAAGGCTAAACAGAACAAGGTGGCCTGGGTGTGACGTGATAGCTGACATCACGAGAGTGACAAAGGGAGAGATCGAAAAGTACATGAGGAGTGTACCAGGGCTCACCGGAGTGATCGCGGGAGGAGGCTCCCCGTGCCAAGGTCTTTCAAAGTTGAACGTGGACCGGACCCCAGGTCCCAGTTGTGCTACAAGTAAGGACCTGGCGAGAGAGATGAGGGTATGGTCGGTTCTGATGATAGAAAATGTAGTTGGAGATGAGGAAGACATCAGAGAGATGAGCCAACAGCTGGGCTGCCGTCCGGTGCATGTTTGCTCGGGGTGCTTATCGTGGGTTCGTCGACCAAGACTATCCTGGAGCAATGTGGCTTGGGATGACCGTGCCAGCTATCAGCTCAACCATCATGAGCGCTATGATGCGCTAGAGTTCAATGAGGAGCTGGAACCTTTGAGGTCAGAGTGTGATGAAGGGTGGATTTGGGCCTGCAGCTGAAGTCAACAAGAATCTTCGGTTGCCGGCTTTCACAAGAGCCATTCCACGGAGAAATCCGCCCAAAGAGCCAGTTGGGCTGCAGTCCTGCGATAGGAGCAGGATAGACAGATGGAAGGAAGACCAGATGAAGTTTCCTCCATACACTTACCGACCAGAGTTCCTTATCCGTCATGCCAAGGGAGAAGAGGTGAAGCGTGTGGCATCAGCAACGGAAAGAGAAAGGTTGCTGGGGTACCTCACGGGGTACACCTTGGGTCTGTATCGCAAGCAAGCAGAGACGGAGGATGAGAGGAGGAAGCAGACGGTCGCACGAGAAGCGGCTATCGGGAATAGCTTCCACACCGTGGTTGTGGCTTGCTTGATGGATCTGTCTGTGGTTGTGGAAGAAGCAAGCCCGAACTGACCCAAAAGGGGCCAGAGCCATAGTTGAGAGATGGCATGAGGAGATGGCTCGGAGTTTTGACGACATTGGAGAAAAGGATGATGCCACGACTCATGTCAGCGTGAGTGAGAGAGACAAGGAGGAGGAAGAAGCTTTGGTCCAGCTGGTCCGGAACCCAAGGCGCGAACAGTGGCTGCGATTGGGAGGACACAGTGTTGGGCAAGGATCGACTGAATGTGAGATTGATTCGCCAATACCTTCGAAGGATGGAATTTCGTGGGAGTGATGTACGTCTTGACTTGCAGGTAGTATACAGGCCGGATGCTGTGGCCCGTACGACAGTAGATTCATGCAGATGAGTTTGGAAGACCGCCCAATCCTACAAGTGGCGCCGAGACGAGCGCATCAATCTCCTGGAGTTGAGGGCGTTTTTGAGGAGCCTAGAGTGGCGGGCCCGGTCAGCTTCATTTCATTCTTGTAGGTCTGTCCGATTCCCAGATCTGCTTAGCTGTACTGACAAAAGGTCGAAGCAGCTCAAGAACAATCAATCGCATTTAGCGCAAGATCTAAGCCTTGTGTGTCGCTTTGAACCTTTTTCCTTTGTGGGCTTGGATTGCATCCCGATTGAACCCAGCGGATGGTCCAAGCAGGCGTTTTGAGAAGGATGCCAAGAAAGGAGATTAAGAGAAGGGCCACAAAGGAAGACCGCAAGGCTGAGAGGCAAAGAGTGGGAAAGTTGTCGGAGCAAAGAGTTTCACAAGCGACCGCAGAACGATATGCAGTTGCTTTGCATGGCCGGAGTACCTTTGTGGGAAGCACAGTGGTAGAGCTGCTGAATCGAGCAGATCTTGAATCAGTGCTTTGCCAAGACATAGAGTTCCTGTGGGAGGAAGGAGATCCCAAGACGATGGCAAATTATGTGATGGCCGCAGTTCAGTATCGAAGGCCAGAGCTCAGAGGAAATTTGAAAGGAGCATGGCAGCTGGTTTCTTTGGAACAAGCTGGAACAACCCTTGCGGGCTACGCCACTTAGTCCCGAATTGGTGTTGGCATTTGCCGGAACACGTTGGGAATGGCATTGGCCTCCCTCGCCTAGCTCAGCTGATCATGGTGGCATTTTTGCGGCCTCCTCCGCACAGGAGAGATGTTTCAGCTTCACAGCAAGGATGTGATTTTACCCCGCAAAGACGGACAGTCAGCGATCCTTTTTCTGCATGACACAAAGACATCACAACGAAACTTTTTGACGAGTGAGAAAGTCCTCATCACCGAGAAAAGCGGAATTGCTTGCCTGCGAGCTCTTTGTCAGAGACGCAGGCCTGATAAAAACTTGGTGGATTTTTCCCCTACAGCCTTCCGCTCACTTTAGAACGAGGTGGTACACCACCTCGGGCTGGAAAGCTTCAACTGTTTGAGACGGGGAGGAGCCACAGTAGCCTATGTTCAGGGCATGCAATTCGATCAGCTTTTGGCCAAAGGCCGCTGGGAACATATTGCTACTGCTCATATTTACCTGGATCAAGCCCTCCAAGAATACACTGCCCTTGTCCTACCACAGGCCGTGACTCGTAAGGTTCGCGCAGCAAGCCAGAGGTTTGCTGCCGAGCTGGGACGCGTGGAGGAGGGGGCAAGGAGGACTTGATCGGGTAGAGGGCATAGGGTTTGCCTTTTCATCA